TTTTTTTTTTTTTTTTTTTTTTTTTTTTTTTTTTTTACTTTTTAAACCCTTATTATACAGATCTTAAAAAAAAGTGGAGGAAGTGCACCGGTTTGTGGCCCCCCCAGCATGAAATTCTTGTTAGTGACAAAAACCACCATGCTACTAGATGCTGAAATTCCTTCCTCTGTGCCACGCATGCTGTTACATACATAGGACCAGGTATATGTCTTCCACCTTGCAAAGGGTCCCTTCAGTGGCCCAGTGCAATACAAACTGGTCCACATTTTGTTGTAAGTGAAGTATCCTAATTCAAATGTGACACACACCCATATGAGGAAGTGGAAGAGTTGCAGGATGTCATCAGAGCTGGCCCCTGTAAACCAGGTTCTGTGGTTTTTCAGCTGCCATCTTTGCTTGGCTCAGTAGAAAATTGGCTAGACAGATCATACTCCTTTTTGTCTCTTGGGACCTATGGGACCTTTTACTAGTAGGTATTGGAGGTAAGAAATCTCCTTCTTGCTTTTTCCTCCCCTTCATGGAGTCTGGCACATATTCTACTTGCAGACCTCATGGCTCCATTGATTATGGGTACCTGTGGAACACACCTGATCTGCACTTAAAGGGTGACCTGGTCACCAGAAGGAGCCCTGTGGGTAATGACCACAAGTAACCATGACTGTCTGCAGACAAGGGAGACATGTCTATCCAAACCACACACACTTTCCTCAATCTGCCTGCAGCTTGCCTGTCTTGTCTCCTTCCCAAGTATATATCAGGGTCACCAGGAGCCTATCTAAATTATGGTGAAGGCACATGACTCACATTTCTATACCAAAAGATGTGGTCTGCAAACCAAGAGTCCTCTCACACAGAGGTACATTTTTCTCCCAGATAAGTCTGACATTTGCAAAAATCACAATTTTATCTGTTCTCACAATATTTGGCATTTTCCTAAAGCTTCAGCTCCTTGAGGCATGGTTATGTGTGACTCTCAGTTCTAACATTTAAAAAAGAAAGTTTCTAGCCTTTACAATTTCAGAGAAAAGCTAGCAAGTGTGAATCCTATGAGCTCAAAATCCAGATGGCAAATAAAAAGAAACTTACATTTATTATTCCTTCAAATATCATCATTTTAATCAAATCTCATGGGTTTGACTCATGACTTTTGAATGGCTGAGTTTGGTAATATATCAGAAGTGATGTGACTGATTAAAATATGAACATGCGTATGTGTTTAAAAGAGTAAAGGTTGCATATAGGACTTTTAACACTATACATTTTGTATGATAAGTTTTCCTATAACTTATAAACATCAAAACATAAATAATAATAAAAGCATGACATTTATGATTAAAGAATATATTCTTCTAAAGGTAGTCAAAATTTCTTGAAAGTTTCTTTTTAGTGGCAAAAATTAGGAAAAAAATGACCTTTATAGGTCAGCAAGTCTAGGAGATTTTCCTCTTTTGTCATGAAGCTAGAAAAGAAAGGAATCTTTGCAGCCTGTTTTTTTTTTGTTGTTTTTTGTTGTTGTTGTTAATTTCAGGTTTTTATTTACCATTTACCATTTTCCTTATTTCTTTCTCTCTCTTTTTCTTCCTCCATCTTCCTGTGGCAGAAAATAGGTGGGGCAAAAAGGAGGAAGAAAAATATGGGGGGGAAGGTTAAAAAAAAGAAATAGATGGCATAAAACTGGGAAATTTAAAACCAAAGATTATAATTGTGTATAATCAAAACTGTATAAAACTTTAGGAGACATCACTTCCTTTTGAATCCTGGGGAATAAAATGGACTTCTTTGTTATCCATTTTTGGATGATCTGTAATAATTTTCTCTTTGCAATGTTACAGGGTAGTAGATAAGGAAAGAAAAAAATGTGAAGAGCATAGGAGTAGTAGAGGGTAGAGGTGATTGATACAATACAACAATAAAACATGGCATTCAGAAATGGCATGTTAATTTATTTTAATTAGGTTATAGTGGAGCTCCAGCTGTACTACAGTTAATGCTGAGCAATACTTCCTAATTAAAAGACAACTGTTCTAAATTACTGTACTAACT